TGTCAAGTAAGCTTAATAACGATAAAAAAATTTTGAAGTTATTCATCTCAGATTTAAGAAGGTCAAAGTGACATTTACACTGGTTTATAAGTTGGCGAGTATAGGCGAGTACGTTATGGTGTATAAAAAGGTCAATAACGTACTACCTTTATTTTTAGGCTTAATATACGGTTAGATATTTCTTAAAGTGATTATACGTAGGCGCGTTTGCGTGGGCGACTTGGCAGATGCATGATCAAGCTTTTCTCAACTCAAAACTAACTTTGGATTTGCAAGATATCAGCTTCAACATCTAAAGCAGAATACCAGAGAGCACTGTTGATTTCATGACAAGGTGCAGAAATCAGAATACCAGAAAACAACAAAAACAACAGGAATTAGAAGAGCGCAAGATTGAACAATTGATCATAGGCAATAAACATGTTAAAGCTCAAGAGCGCGTTTTAGAGCACGGAGACGAATTAACGCTAGACAAAGCAATTGAATATGCAAGAACATATGAAGCAACGATGGCCATGTAGCACAGCTATCCAATAACCCACTTGACAACCAAAGAATGCAAGCGGTAGGAAAATCCGCAACCGGAACTGTGAGAAAAAGCGGAAACTAAGGAAACACTCACGAATAAAGAAAATGCCATGCATATGGTTCTACATGCAATTACTGCTCCAAAATCAACCACTGGAGTAAAATGTGCCACCAAATGAACAGGCCCACATAACAGAACACAAATGATTCAAATGAAAATTTTGACTCATTGCACTTTGAATAAATAAGTGCTGATAATGTCAATACCGAATATAGGGATGAGGTATAGGCAACGCTAGGCATTGATTGACCAACATGTGAAATGCGCAAGCTGCATATCTGAATGCCAAAGTAGACAAAGGAGCACAAGCGCACATTCTACTCTTCCGACTATTCAAACAGATGTTTCCAGAGAAAACCAGAAAACACACTCGCTGCCCTGCTTTTTGTTGTTCAGGGACCTTTTTTTCATCATTACAAAATTTTTTATTTTTTATTTCTCTCTTTCTCAACTTGGACTGATGATATGTATGTTATTGCCTTAAAGCTGGCCTGTTTGTCTGCAAAGAGAGAAATTATCAATATTTATACAATAAATCAAGATATTATACATTTATTCATATATATTTGTTTCTTGTATCAATTGTCTGAAGACTACAATTATGTTAGTGTATAATTAAATAAGTTATTTCTTGAATTAATGACAGAATAATCTGATTAATCTGAATAATCTGATTTACAGTAGACAATAATTGATGTTATTTGTCACTTTTTTTCATTGTTAACCATGGTCAACCAAGTTTTGACTTTGGTAAAGTTAAAGCAACATTAAATTTTAACCTTTAGGATTTTCTAAGATTTTCCTAGGATTTTTCTAGGAAATTTTGTCTATTACCAGGGTAACTGGTCATGACACCCCCTTGTCATGACGCCCCCAGCCATGATGCCCCCCCGTATACCATGATGCCCCCAGTCTGTACTACCACTACGCCCCAAGTCTCTATTAACACTTAATTAATAAGAAGTTTAACGATAATTCTCAAATTTTGTCATTAAAGATTAGTTGCAGAACCAGATATAGCTGTAGAGTTAAAGAATATCATTCAGATGCATTAGGAATTCTAAGAAATGTTCATCGATTAAAACTTTAGAACATCATTTCGGTGAGTGACGTACATTTGGAGTTCTAGAACATTTCACAAAGAACATTAAAACTTTTTTATAAAGATGGTTTTTGAGACTTGCACCTTTGTGTTTCAAACTCTTTTGTTATTTACACAAATGGATAAATATACGTCTATTTCGATGTCTTTTTCGAGTGATTTCAGCATTCGCCAAGAAAGACAGTTTCATCGAATAAAGATTTCTTTAAGGCATCTGTTTACAAAATCTGTTTTGAAATTACGAACAGAAAGTTGAATAAAAAAATTAAACAGTGAGTCGAGGAATTCTGAAAGTGACACGTAAACATGTGATGTTTCTTGCAACATATCACGTTTGTATTTAGATTACGGATAATATGTTCTTTTGATTTATTTGGACCTGATTTTTTCCATTTTGTAGCTCTAGAATATCATTTTAATATGAACTCTGAAATTCATCTGTAATGGGATTGTTTTTGAGACACAGTTTGTGTTTCGCGTCACCAAGTGATCAAACTCTATTGCTATCAACGCTAACCCGGGAGGTGTGACAAACTCCCCGCACAAATTGATAAATTATTCTTTTAAAGAACCCTTTATTCTTTTAATTGAGTGGAAATTGAAAATTAATCCAATGGAAAATTGAAACAGAGCTTTAAAAGCCGATGACCTGACTGCTCATTTCATCATTTTACAAACATCAGTAAAGTGTCCAACATCGAAAAGTGATTTCTCCTGTTACAAGTGATATTCTTATCATGTCCAATATCTGTGCATCATGCAAACTGCCTGTTCTTGAATCCTAAGAAGTATGATTACTCAGCTGGTCTGGGGGCAACTCTGTTTGGGAACACAGTTGTTGCCCTGAAGTCAACAAGAGTTTGTACTATTCTCCTGGTTCTTCTTTTCAACCACCTGAATCTCCACCCATTGCAGAAAGTTCTCGATTGTCTGACTTTAACGTTAAGAGTTAATTTATAACTAATTTCCCTTTTGCACTTCTTGAGACAAAAATTGCCTTTTCCCTTTCACTAATGTTTCGTTTTTCTCTTAAATTTAGATGCAGTTGAAAGCTCATCGAGTAGGTAATAGAATTTATAGAATACTAGCAGTATGACATAAGAATAATGGTAACTAGAGCTCCAAATATTGATTCTCGATCTTCCTTTTTAGTTTCTCCAGATGAAGTGCGATTACAACAAATATTGGCAAATGAGTCCATGCCAGAAGAGCCTTCATTAGAAACCATTGCTAAGTTTACATGTTTTATTGGTTTCGTTTTATCATGACAAAGCATAAGTCTTAGATATTCGTGTATTAGTTTACTATTACTAAATTTGTGAATCACTGGAAGCATGAGTGCTTCTAGTATTGTTTTTATTTTCTAAGCAACAAATAAGCTTAAACACGCAGTATTTCAGTATGAGTTTACTATTACTAAATTTATGAATCACTGGAATTTATCACAAGTTTTACTAGGATTGTTTATAGTTTCTTAGCAGCAAATAAGCTTAAACACACCGTATTTGAATATGAGTTTACTATTACTAAATTTATGAATTACTGGAATCAGGAGTGTTACTAGATTTATTTTTATTTTCTAACAAATAAAAAATGGTTGATTTCGAAAAGGCCACATGGAAATCTTGCAGGGAAGTGTTCCCTGAAGCCTCCATGCACAGATGTGTATTCCATCTAACTCAGGCTGTTTGGAGAAAGGTATACATACATGAGTTAATGTCATGATGTGGATGGAAAATTGTAACTGTTAATTTACTGTCCTTTTATTCTTTAATAGGTTTAAGAGCATGGCCTACAAAGTGCATACAAGCATGATAACGTCACGTACAGATTTGTTAGAAAGCTTATGGCCCTGCCCTTGCACCCTACTGACAAGATAGTCCACCAGTTCCAACAAATCCATGTCCATGCCACTACACCAGCCCTCAACGAGTTGATTTCATACTACGAAAAAACATGGATACAGAGTACCATCTGGACCCCTGCAAACTGGACTGCATATATGAGATCCGTAAGAACTAACAACGACGTTGAGGGCTGGCACGATGCCATAAAACGACAGGCTGGTGGAAAGACTCAATTGCCTTTGTACCTGCTGATAGCGCTTCTTTACAAAGAGGCAAAGCTAGTCGCACTCCAAGTGCGATTAGTTTTAGAGAAGAAGCTGAAATAAATCCAAAGAAAGAAATACCAACAAGCTACAGGCCAAAATCTTTGGTCTGTGGGAAGAATTCAACAGAGAGCAACAAAGCCCAAGATCACTACTCCAAGCCATATCACACATCAATAATCCACGACAAAGTCAATAAAAAATGGCTTCTTCAGAGGCAAAAATGGCTCTTTTCAGAGCCGCCACATTCTTGAAAGATCATGATCAAAAATGCTTTTAAATCAGACATACATAACATACAAAAGAGTTAATTCATTGAATAAAAAAAATTATCATAATAGTCATTTCATATTGAATGTGAAGTGCTGTGGATTGATTTGTCCTTTTCCTTCATATTGTGTTATGGGGAATATATATATAAGCATATTATGCAAACAAAAAGGTATATATAACGGAATAATTTATGCAAGTATTTGCTTCTATATGTTTATTATAAAATATACATATATACATATATAACGGAATTTATGCAACTAACTACTCGCTTAAATTCTGTTATATACTATATACTATATAACGGAATTTATGCAACTAACTACTCGCTTAAATTCTGTTATATACTAAACACTATATAACGGAATTTATGCAACTAACTACTCGCTTAAATTCTGTTATATACTATATACTATATAACGGAATTTATGCAACTAACTATTCCTATTGAGTTTAACGCGGGATTGCAACACGGCGATATTGCTTAGGCAAAATACTTGTGTCGAGGCTACACGAGTGAGACCCAGTAGTGAGAAGCYAGTAGGTCGGTCAAGCCCAGTTAATCATTAAAGACGTTCGATCCGTACTGTATCAAACTTGAAATTACGCTGTCAAACTTGTCAAAGTAATTTAAGACAAAAACCATGCATGTTGGACGTCAGTCACGTGGTGTTTCCATCTATTTTTACATTGCTACTTTTCACACTTTCTCATGTATCTTAACCAATCAGATAAAGAGGAATCAAATTGCACTAGTTTAATTCAACGCAAAGGTCTTTGTTTCATTCTTCTGCTATATCTACTTTCGATAGAGCTTCTCTTGTGCGATATTCCGTTAAATTTTTAARCTATGGATTTCTTTAACCCTTTTATGGATGTTGTTTTCCTCGGCGAAGACCGTKCAAAGGTAAGATATCTAAAGTACTTTTACAAAATATTTATAAAGAAGTCTAACTTGTTACGCACCTACAATTTCAAAGGAGTTTGAAGATAACTTGGCCCTGGTGAGGAACCTCGCCGACCAACAGGACGAGAATCTGGCGGACAACGCTTTAGAGGTATTAATCTAAAACGACTTCATTTATATTCAAAGTTAGGTTAAAGTGACATAATGGTCTTTTGTACTACTTTTAGGACTTTGAAATGGGTGCAGGGTGCGCGGACGTTTTCTTTTTCGGAGAAGACCGTTCGAAAGTAAGTAGTACTTCCCATACTAATCGTCGTGAATTGACCAAAGCATCGATTGAATCCTATTTTTTCCATTAGGAGTTTGAAGATCGCCTCAACTGGAAGAACTGCTCTTTATGCAAAGTCAAAGTAA